GCTGTTGTTCAACCCTCCACTATCCACGGACTTGTAGTAGTGATAGCGGACCGGCCGGCCCTCCCTGTCCGTACGGAACGGCCAGAACCCGTAGATATTAACCTGATCACACAGCTCCAAGGCCACGGAGGTGTAGTAGAAACCTGGTGAACAAAAAGGAAATGCCTTATACCCTTTTCCCACTAGGATAGAATTGTCCGGATCCGATCCAGCCGAATTGATTCGCTTTGATCCGGCTTTAATCCAGCTTCCAATCGGATCGGAACCGAATCTAGCCGGGTCGAAGCCGGATCAAAGCGAATCAATTCGGCTCGATCCGGACAATTTTATCCTAGTGGGAATGGGGCCTTATGCTCCACGCTTCTACTATAATTCTAAGATATATTTGCATCGGCATTTTCTCCCTGTCGCTCGGCATTAATAATGCAAAGATCAATGCAATGGCTGTGCTGAAGTATGTATGCAATGACTTCATGCCAAGGTTATCGTTACGATGTGCAACTAGAAAAGTAATCCTGTACCAGAGGTCTTTTTGTAATAGCTTTACAAAAATGCTTGGAGATTCTTGTACTCGATCAAACCCAATCAGACCTCTTGCCTACACAGCAGCTTACACAGTTATCAACCGCCGATTTATGATAACAAACCAATAAAACTGTACCTATTGATGGTTCTATCCTGCCCTCTGCCTTAGAAATTACTGTGTATTTGCTAGATAAAGATTCACCCCCCCTCAGAATCCAAAGTGATTTTTTGTTCTCTTACCTGAAGAAAAGTTTATCTTTCCCTTTTCCAGCTTCAACCCTAGTTTTCCCCAAGTCTGTATTGCCTGTCTGACATGGATGGGACTGATGAACAGTGGTACTACAGAGGAGTTGTTGGACCGTAGTACCTTGGAGACGCTGAGCAAGGCCTCGATCTGTTTGGGTTAGGGGTGGGTGGGGGTGTGGCGTGGTAGGGACAGTTTTAGAAACATTTCGCAACTATGGGTACTATAGCTGTTTTTCTTTGACCATGATTGGACAAGATGTTCACAGTTATCATTGTGTGCTTTCCTATAATGTCTAGTTGCACAACAATGTTAAAAGATACACTGTAATTCATGATTGTTTTCCGTGAACACCTACATTTTTCTCAGACCGAAAACTTTTGATACTACCGTGAACATAAAGTGAATTACAGTACTGAGTCAAGAGACTCTTTCTACACAACCAACTCTTTTATTCAGCCGACGTTTCGGTGACCGTCTGTCACCTTCCTCAGCAATTCTGACTGGTTCCCCCGAATACAGACGGTCACCGAAACGTCCGCTGAATAAAAGACTTGGTTGTGTAGAAAGAGTCTCCTTACTCAGTGACTTACCAACCTGATGAAACTATTCACGGATGGATTACAGTACATATAATCATTGTATGCTACACAACTAACTGTGGACAGCACTACTGATATGTTTACACCCCCAACCCCCCACCCATTCCCATTCCTTACGTTTTTGAGGACTGTGAAAGGTGCCGACACGATGAAGGTGTCCTGACCGTACTGGTCGTGCAGGTGGTGAAGGAACTTCTTCTGTCCGGTACCGGTCTTCAGAAGCGCCCACCTGTGCAGGATCACACAATATACGTATCAGCATTGGCTTATGCTGCAAAAATGTTATTCGCTGAGCTCATGCAAAACGTTTGGTGTATCAATGATCATGACTTCATTATTTACTCTGATGAAACTGGCGCCAACGTTTGGTGCGTTTCAGTCAAGAACTTAAGAAGCCCGTCAAGGTTGTATCAAACCTTCTCTGAGTGCTGATAAAATCATCATATAATACATGTCTCGAAACGGCATACCGAACGTTATTTGAATCATGATCATGCGATCGAAAAGAATAACAACACATCTAAGAAGCTCACTTCGTTCTCTTTAAATTTCATCAAGGTTTGCAGCCAACATATCCTCTTACTTGGATCTCATTCTATCCCGACTGGTTGTGACCATGTTCGTGCGTGTGCCGATGTCGTCCAAGTACGGAGGACACACAGGAGGCATGTTGAACCTGTAGTAAACAAACAGGAGATTGTAGTGCTCAGACTCCACCAGCTTGTAAGTCTAGATCTCTAAATCTCTTTTTCCTTTTTAATTCTTTAAAGACATAAACGTTTATGTTGTCTTCCCGTGTTTTAATCCTGGATAACAGCTTACCTAATGACAAAATCGCCGGAATCTATTTTCTGACCGCATTTTCTTCCAGTCAAGATGCCGCTGTTGCCAACCAGACTACAAACTCCTAACCTCCGGTTGACGAAAGGACTGACCTGTGATAGAGGACAGACAAAGTAATGTAGAAGCACTCCAAACGCATGCACGTACGCACGCACACACGCACGCACACACACACACACACACACACACACACACACACACACACACACACACACACACACACA